GGACCGGTTCCCGCTCACTGGCTGAGCGAGGCGCGGGAGCAACACCGAGGGTTGCGATCCCGTTGCCGGTCCCCGGTCCGGTACGGGGGCAACACTGAGGGTTGCGATCCGTTGCCGGACACGGAAAAAGACAAAAGACAAAAAAAAAAAATTGTGTATTCTGCTCTTGTAAGGTGGAGTGTTTCATTAAGAGTAATAAAAACACAATTAAGCCAAGTTGGTTGATAGACCATCCTCTGAATCCTTAAGCCAAGTTGGTTCAAGACCATCCCTGTGAATCCTTACTGGATGTCTGTCTACTTATTCTATCCATCATCAACAGAGAAGTGTTGAAACCTCCATTTGTAATTGCAGTTTGTACACCTTTTTTCAATTTTGTCAGTTTTTGCTTCATTTATTTCTTTTTCTATTTTTGGAAGAAAAAACTAAAATGAGAATTTGAACTTAGGTATTTTGATCATACTAGAGATGTTTCTGCAACATCTAAATGACAAAATGAAATACAATAATACCACACATGGACCTCTGGCTTTTGGAATCAGATGCAAAAACTCTTCACCATAGCCTAGTCACGATTTTCTTCTCCAGCCCTATCTTAATAGAGCTCTCCCTGAGCTCACTTCACATAGGCCAAATTTCTGTGCTTTAGTTTCTCTAACACCAAGCTCACTCCATTTTCAGGGTTTCTTACCTGCTGTCCCCACTTTTTAGAACACTCATTCCCTGGATCTTCTTGACTTTGACAGCTCAGCTCAAACATTCTTTCACATCCTTCTATGATTCTCCTTCTGTGATTCTCATTCATTCTCTCCCTCTCTTATATCTTGTCTCTAATACACACACACACACACACACCACTTTGTTTATAGCTCTTATGATTATCAAAAATTGTCATATGCATATGTTTATTTCTTTGTTGTCTACCTCTCCCACTACACTATAAGCCACAAAGAGGCCACGTGTTTTATTTTCTATTGTGTTTGCAGCAACAAGAACATTGATTGTGATATAGAGAGCACTCAGGAGACAGAACAAAGAAAAAAGATGGAAGAGTAGGGGGAAAGGAGGAAGAGAAAGGAGTAAAGGAAGAGGGGAGATGAGAGAAGGAGGGAGTTGAATGAATGAATGAACATCACTGAATGTTAGAATGTTTTCACCTACTTTTTTAATGGAATTTCCTTTGTCGATGTGTAGAATAAGTGAAGGAATTTTGTTAACATACTATGGAAAAAACAAAACAGTATTTTCTTCATGTCTACACTTAAACTGAAGTTAAAATAGAGTGGCAAGAAGAAAGACATTTTGCCTTTTGGCTAAATCCTAGATCTTTGTGTTCCAGGCTGAAAGCAATTTACCTTCATCAGCCTTAAATTACATAAAAAGCAAATGAAGCATTACTTAGAGCGAGAACTAAAAGGCAAAAATAAGGAAATACTTTCCCTAATAGTTTTCCTCACTTTATCATTGCAACTTCTCCAAATTTTAAAGAATAGGAAATAGTGTCTGAACACCTGCTTGCTACATAACTACAGAATGTGTTTACCTTGTTTCTATATTTGAACTATCGCAAATGACCTGGATTCACAACCTTTTTAGTGTACGTAAACATGCAGGAAAGGCAGACTATTCCAACTTGTCACCACAATATTTCTTTTTTTTTTTTAGTTTTTATTTTTTATTTTATTATTTTTATTTTGTCAATATACAATGTAGTTGATTATTATGTCCCATC